CTGAAATTTGACATTTTTAGATCTCCCTTTAGAAGAAAAAAAATTATTTTAAAGTTCAAGCGAATCTAACTCTTTGAAAAGTTGGCTGAACATAAATACTTAAAATAGCAACAAATTAAATATAATCTCCCATGGTGGCCACCTTAATTCTGAATAATTTCATTATTTATCAAAAATATTTATCTCTCTTTTGAGTTTAAACCAATTAGTTTTGGTTTAAACATGGAACTAGAATAATTTAAACCTCTGGTTAAATATTAAACAGGACACTCGTCTGTTCATTTATATCCAGAGAGAGATAGATAAATAAAGGACTTTTTTATCATCTATCTATAAACCTTGTCTTTCTGCTTTTTTTGGTAACCGATAAACATCAAAACGGCTAAACCGATTGGTCCCAAATTTTGTCTGGTACCTCACCCCAGGGAATGTTAATGGATGCTCAAAATTACAAATAGTTGGCTCAAACATTTTTAGATTTTCGTAAAATATTAAAAATGCGCGAAAAAAATTTTATCCGCAAAAAAGTTTTTATTTTGTTTTATCGAAGAGAAAATGCTAAAAAACTGAGCAACAATAAAAATAACTATTTATAACACTGTTATTTTGGTTCGCAGTGTTATAAAGTTTTTGGACAGAAATTTTCTTTTTATCGAGAAGGTTCAAGCCTTTTTAGATTTTACTTTGTAATCTAAAAAGGCGAGGACCTTCCAGATATGGAGAAAACTGTCCAAAATAATAACGTCGTGCCAAAATAATAGTGTTATATGTAATTTCATGAAACGTGCTATATAATGTACAGCTAATTTAACATTATAGCACGATGATTACTTTATAGCATGTTCATTATGAAATTCACGATGAAGTGAGTAAGAATGTTAAAGTAAAAAAGAGTTTCATAAAAAATTAATTAGAAGATTTATATTTTAGATTCACAACAGTACTCTTTACAACTTTATATGAGGAAATTTTGGTGGTTTTATGATACGAATTGAACTATTGTTAATTTATTTTTAGACTCTGCAGTTTAAACCCAGCCGTAAGCCGCTTTTGCAGAGAAACCTCAATTGGACATTATTAATTTTCAGCCAGAAAATAAAGAATGTTTTTATCATTTTTGCTCAATATGATTCATAAGATAAAGTGCTTGACAGTTTATATTATATACAATCAGTCTATAATCTATTTAGAGAAGAGAGAATCTGAATCCAGGGGGTTAAATCATAAAAAGGGAAGTAGGCGTGATCAGTAGATTGACGAGAGAAGGGGGGGCAGGGGGGGGGGATAATTACAAAAGATAGAACCATTAAATGGGATATGAGAAGAGAGGGGGCGCGGGGAGAAAGAACAATAAAAGATAATCTTATTTTTTAGTCGAAGGTGCAGGGGGGGGGGATTTATCCCCTGGAGTCTGGTAAAGATGAAAAACATGATGTTGGGGAATATGGTTTCTTGTATATTGTATAAATCCCCGACTTCTGGCACCAATATGTCAATGATTGTCAAAGTATAACCCCTCCCTATATTCTCTTCTACGATGTTAAAAAAAAAATATTTTTATATCCCGAGTAACCACATTATCTTCTCGATTTATCCCGTCTTAGTTAGGAAGTGTTTGCGAAAAATGAAAGAAGGTATAGGCTTACGGCGAAAAATAATCGCTTTTGATCGCTACTAATCTTACTTCCCAGCTCTGTTGCGTCTATAAGGAGAAAAATGTTAAAAACGACTTATACTGAAGAACGTTATAGCGTCCATACAAATTCAGAAAGTTGCAATATTCAATTTGGATCGTAAAATAATCAATTCAATTTCAAACAAATTTTTCAGATTTTAAAACCTATTTTCATCGATTATTTTTCGACGCATAGTTTGCCGCCAGATGTCTCTGCTCGAATTGATGCTTTGAATAATTACGCGTGGCAAAGACACCTAGCGGGAAAAAGTAGTTTTAAGTGCATTGTATATAAAACAAATAACAAATATTAAGAAATATTAACTATATACGAATGCGTCGAAAAATAATCGATGACTTTTGGTTGTAATATTTGAATGATTTGTTTTAAATTAAATTGATTATTTTACGATACGAGTTGTATATTGCACTTTTTGAATTTTTATGGACGCTACGTTCTTCAGTATAAGTCGTTTTAACAATTTTCTCCTTATTGACGCAACAGAGAGAAGTAAGATTAGTAGCGATCAAAAGAGATTTATTTTTGCAAATACTCCCTTTAAATGAACTATCGTCATAATTTATAAAAGGGGCGTGTCTGATTAACGACCATAACCTTGAAACCTTAATCTGATCAATAATATGCAAGATAACGTCGTTTTTGCTTCAAAAGTGTTTAATTCTGATAATTTAGCAATTTAAAAAAAAAAATTTGCATATACTTTTAGACAGAAACATCAAATAAACAAGAAAAAGGTGGATTTCTAACTGCCCGATAATTTTATGATTATAGTGATATAATTTTGTCAGTTCACGTTCAAATTCTCTTTCGATAAAAAAAAGTCTACACCGCGTGCTAAAATAGTATAACAGGAGGAAAATAAGATGGTAGAATTAACTTGTTTGGGGCAAAATTGTGTATTATTAGACAGAAAAAATGTAAGGTTGATTCCCTAACATTTTTTTTGCATAGAACTACCAACCAAAACTTCGAAATGACGGACATTAAGTTTGAAATTATAAACATAGTGCCAGGAATGTATTACAATGTTTTTTAAATAACATTCTTTTCAGACAATATTTTAAGTTTTCTTTTCTATTTATCTTTGCATTTTGATGATGTACACCTTTCAAAGATATAAAGACAAGAAAAGAAGAATTTGTGGCAAAGAATCAATTCCAATTCTGAATATTATCTTTCTGTAGATACACAATTTTATCCAAAAAATGTTAAATCTACCATCTTATTTCTCCCCCCCCCCCTGGTTTAAACCCTTCCCCTAATGTATATTCATGAAAGGATGGTTTAGGGAAAAAATTGAAGTTATTAAAGTAGAGTAGAATAAATCCCCTGTATACAGGCATAAATACCCGCAGGGGAAATATGTATTACATATTTATTTTATACATATAAACTATATATATATTACATACTAGACTTTCAGGCAGTTTTGCGCCCATTTTCTATTTTGATTGTGAACATTTTTCTTTGTAAAAATTGTAAGACAAAAAAAAACAAGAGTTTGCAGATTTTATAATTTTTTTTTGTTGAAATTTTGATAATCCATTAACCTTTCCTGGGGTCATGTGATGTCCCACACAAAATTTAGGCCCGATCGATTCTGCCTTTTTGACGTTCATTCGATACAAACAAACAAACAGACACACAAGCAAAATATATAGAAATATATATGTCACCAATATGTATTCAGTATATGTATATGGTTATTACTATTTGATAAGAACATATACAAAATACAAATCACAAAGTAAGTTATAGAATATGTTCATATTTATTAGAAATCGATCTTACACGAATAGAGTTCCATTCTTTCGAACTGCTTAACTGTTCAGGAGGGAGTTCGAGTTTGTGAACTGTTTAATTGTTCAAAAGTGAGTTTTAGCTATCGATCTGGTCATGTTATTTCGATCTTGTTAACTGCTCAAAAAAGAGTTCTTTCTTTCGAACTGTTCCGCTGTTTAGAAGAGTTTATCTTTCGAAGGAAAAGCAAGGTTCACACAAAATCTTACCGTCACCAACTTTAATAACTTGTAACAAAACAGAGAAACAAATCATTAAAAAAAACGTATATCTTTTAGAAATGTGTACACCTGGAATAAAAGATCAGGGCGAAGGAAGGATTTTTTGAAATGCTTATATAAGATGAATAAAGAGTGTTCTGGTACAATAGAGTAAAGAATGTGTACACATGTACACTTCACATGAGATGCGATAGGTGTACGTACATGCAATATAAGAATCGTTTAATAAGATGAAAGAAGGTGTATCAAGATTTATGTCTGTTTCGTTCATAATAACCCTGAGGCAGAAGCCCAAAGGAGTTACACGTAGTCGGCGTATAGCAGGTTCTATGTATGTCTTGTTCCACGCCGACTATGTCTTGTTCTACGCCGACTATGTCTTGTTCTACGCCGACTACGCGTAACTCCTTTGGGCAACTGCCTCAGGGTTATTGTGAACGAAACACACATACATTGAAAAGACGACATCTTGTGTTCTATCTGTTAATTTAATTAATCTATGGGTGTAATGTATACTGTTGTATATGAGATAAAATGAAAAAGGACACTACGGATTAGATGAAATGATGTACATAATACATAGAGAATAGAATGTATAGAGAGGAGCTTCGGCAACAGTGAAATACTCCTACTAGAAAAAAGTGTAAAATGGCCATTTTGTTGTACTGTTTCCATATGGCAGGTGTACTTCTCATATTTATGCTATATAACCTTTTGGGCCCTGGAATTTGCTAATTCTTAATGATTTCAAGAATCTAAGACGACCTTCGCCCCGAGCCATACCAAATATTGATAGAACCGGAACATGACGATTCGTCTGCAGAGAATTTCTCCACGTTCAATTGATATTCAACGCAGTTCTCAGTCTAAAAATTTCTTTCTAGTATACCGTTATTTTTATTTACTTTAAAAATTTTAAGTGATACTGTGATACTATTATTTTTCAACTCGATTGATCCAGATGTTACAGTACGTGTTTATGTGAGTACCAATTGGGAGGTTGGACATAGTTTTCCAGAGCTCTTTCACTTCCGTTTTTGTTTTGGCGAAATTCGTTTTTCTCTTCTTTTCTAGTTCTGAAAAACTATATCCAACCTCAAACCGTATCTGTCAAATTGCTATTTAGCGTCCGCTGTGACAACTTGCAATTTGCCTGTCCGCCGTGACACTGCCTGTATGCTGAAACGCAAATAGCCATTCTGACAATGTGACATGTTTTACTTGCTATTGACTTCTTGTTTTTGTTTTAAGTCAATATTTTTCAATAAATTTTCCTAAATATTTGTAATTTTATATCCTCCCTTCAGTAGCTTCTGGGAAATTTCGAATTTTAAATCCTTTTTACTTTCAGAGAGCTAATTGTATGCAAAGATATCGTCCGCCGAGACACAGAAGAAATAGACTGTCCGCTGTGACGCCATTCTAGCTGCAGACCGCCAAGTCAAAGATTAAGGTTATACTTTTATAAATTTGTTCCTAAATATTTTGAAATTATTGCCTTTCTTCAGTCTTGTTAACTTTCAGACGTTTCTATAATTACCATTACTATTTTCAAATTAATGTTAGCTATGTCTTGTTTATGTTTTATTTAAGCCAGAAAATTTATTTTGTTTTTTAAAAATAATTATTTATTTATTATTATTCCCCCCCCCCCCTCTCCCTAGAAATAATTACTATCGACGCTTACTTTAATTCTCTAGAGCTGCCTAGCTCCTGCTGCAGAGCTGCCACGCTCCATCTAACCATCTCCTTTAGATTCCTTGAGGTATTTAATTCTCTTCAATGCATAATTAACCCTTAATAGCACCCAGTGAATTATCATTTGTTAAGACATTTTTAAAATTCTCTGTTTTGCGTTTCAAATTCTTCCTATATTTTTTGTTAGAATTCATTTTTTTTTTTTTTAAATTTTTACCTAGCATTGTCTCTTAAACATTTTACAATTTTTACCTGTTAGATAGTATTTCAGCTTAATTAAACTTCAAATTTTATTCAACAAATTTTATTCAGTTTTAAGATAGTCTTTTAAAATTAGTCATTAGTGCCTAAACTGATAAGAACGACTTTTGTGCATGATTTCCGTGTCTGTTAGTGATTGAGAGTTTAAGTTTGCTTGTTTATTATTCTTCAATAATTTTTGTTTATCTACTCGGTTTATTTTTGCCGCAGACGTTTTCAAAATATTTTCTTTTTGGACTGGACTTTTATAAATTCAAGTTTTTTGTCCTGTCCTAACGTTTTATCTAATTTTTAACTTTTATTAGATATATTCTCCTAAGAACTTTTGAATAAATCACCGTTCCATGCATATCTCTTAATGTAAATCGTTCTTTAACTTTTATATTAGTTTTATTTTAGTTCTTCTTTAACTTTTATATTAGTTTTCTTCACCTGTTAATCGTTCGTCTATGGTTATCTTTGCTTTTTTTTGATAGTTATCATATTTGTAGAGTCCAAGCCGACGCAACCACTAAGCATTTCTGACCGAATCTGAAGTATTTGTTCATCTTCTCACAATGCCAGTTAACTACAAAACCGCAAGCCAAGCTGAGTTAGACATAGAAAGAGCAGCAGTAAACCTATCACTTCACAAGCAAACGGCAGACAGCTCCTGGAGCAAAATTTCTAAATCCGTCGCCTCTGATCTCCTAAATGTCAAGACTGAGATGGAAGACCTTTACAGGCTTTTGGCCTCCGCCGACCTTGCAGCTCTAACTGGACAGCAGAAAGCTGATTTTTTATTGAAGCTTAATTCTTCAACTTCCAAGTGAGGATTCCCTAACCAGATGATTTATCCCCAGTTCCCTCAGATGCAAAACTCTTCACCGAATATGAATCTCTCAACCCCCCCACCCCCTCTTTCATTTCCGCTCCCGGGTATGTTTTACAACGCATCAAGTTCTTACCCAGCAACACCAACTTCGATGCCCGCTCTAACCTACACATCAGATCGCGAGAAGAAGAGGCAAATGATCGAACAAGAGAAGCTGAACTCCTACTGCAAAGACTGTAATAAGCTAGGTCACTGGAAAGGAGATGCTCAGTGCCAGTTTGCAGCTCTTCGTCTAGCAGGTTACATGCTACACAACTAATTTGGGTAAATTCTTTGTTGAATTTTAAAGATTGATTATGCTGAATATTTTGCTTCAGTTTGACTATTGATTGTCCAATCGAACATTTAGCTAAATAGTGTATTTTTATCTCTATCTGTTGCACATAAACTGTAAACTTAATATGCGTTTAATTCTTTTCTGGTTCTTATTTTCACTCCAATTGCCGCTTATCTTTGTAGTTTTCACAACTTCTATGTATTTTTCAGCTAATCCTTTTTAATATTTTAAGATTGATTAAGCTGAATATGGCTAGTTATGCTTTTGTTTGCCTCGTACATATTATTTAATCATATAATACTTGAAACTCAATAGACCTATAATTCTTTTCTTGTCCAATAGTTCCTTTTCTCTTAAGTTTTCATACTTTTTAAATGATAACAAATTTCCTTATTAGTATTTCTGAAGTACTAATTTCAGGTCCTTTAACTTCAATAGTCTGGGATGGGAACGGGCATAAGACCTTGACTAACTACTTCACCGAGTTAGGGTTTTCTCTCCCTTCTACAAACACAGTCTTAAGTATACACAACCCTTCTTCAATTAAGTTTTCGGAATGTGTTCTTAATGCAGGGGTTTTCAATCTTAATATTTTGAAGCAAGGTTTAAAATTAAATTTTACTTCAATGCCGTCTTCTTATGAAGAAGATAACAACAAAAACGCAAGAGAGAATCTTGGAGCAGTTCGGGAAAAAGTCAATGACTGGCTTTTAAGTAATAGTGTTGAAAAAGTAACTTTCAAACCATTCTGTGTTAACCCCCTGAATTTAGTTACAAAAATTGATAATGTCACTGGAAAAATAAAACATAGGCCCTGCATAGACATGAGCCGTCA